TGCCAGCCCTCCATATCTTGTGGTCGACTTTCCTCTTGTTGGGCTGTCTTCTCCGCGCTACCGAAATTGATGATGAAAGCGTCGCCATAGTATCGCTCACGCACGGGATCGATGTTGTCTTCACCACCACAAACTTCAATAATCTTGTTCCACGCCTCTGGTGCGAACTCTTCGGCTGGAACCTCGCGATGTCTTGGGAGATGCAGGTAGTCTGTATGCCAGGTCGACTTATCATGTTCATCATAGTCCACCCTGACCCACAAATCTTGAAGCCATTGATCAATATACTCCTGCTTGATAGCGCCGGGGACACGGAGCCACCCCTTGGTGAGAAAATGGTCGACGTCTTCAGGAGTGAGGTGCTCATAGTTCTGATTTAATCCTGATCTACTATCATAAGTGTTGACAGGGACTGGGATTTGTGTTTCAGTCATGGTATTTGACATAATTCAGGGATGTGTTTGATACAAAGGTTGATTAGTGATGGGGATAAGACGGTTCTGCCTATAGATCTAGCGAGGGCTTCTAAGTCCTCAGATTTTGAACCCTGAACGCTTCCTCCCAAGACATGAAATAAATGTATCCACACGTGGCTTGCTTCCGGTTGCGGGGAGCTCAGCTTCCCCAGAGCATTCTCCGTTTCCTCAGAATGCGTCATTCGATTGACTCTTCGATTTCTCGTGTTAGATATCGGCGTTTGAACGAATCACGAACCAAGGCAATTTCTCCGCATGACATTCAAAGAAGACCATGGTTCGGAGACGATTTGTGGCCTGTCATCGGCAATCTGACTGAATCCACTAATAATCTAGTTGCCGGTTTTGAGGGCTCATAGTAGGTGGCGTTTCCCTAAAAGAACTAAACCACGGTGCCCAGAGAGCCCCACTGATATTCGATCACGAGCACCATCGATGTCTGATATCAATCGGCTACTAGAACGGATACTAAAACGTCTGGGATGCGCTCTTTCATTTCCTACCTCGCATTTCTTACACCCAGTCTCGCCTCATTTCCCTAGTCCATGCGATCTGCCATCGCCATGCCAGAGAATGTAACACCCGAGAGTTCTGAAAGCCGACGTGAACAGCACCGCCGCTCGAGCCGGGCGTGTCAAAGGTATTGCCCCTTTAGTGTCTCTCAACCTTTCGCTGACTAACATTTTCTCTCAGTTGTCGAGTGGTAGGTGGTATTGGTCACTATTTGTGCACTGAACTAATTATTGAAAATGAACGGTATTAGGCCAAAACGAGATGCGAATTGCAAATCGATGAATCTAAGTGCCGTCGATGCCTCGAAACTTCGTCGTCATGCTTTTTCCCAGTCAGTCGGCGAGGAAGGATAAGGGGGAGCAAAAAGTAAGTATAGATTTAGTTCCATGAGCACCAGGATAGACATTGGCTGACATCTCAGCCGCCGTACACTCGAGAAGCTCCTGAATGGGGTTAGGCATGCGTCGCCATCAGCATCACCAGAGACCATAGGCATGAGACATAGATCGGACGCTCTACCTAGGCCAGAGGAACCTCAAACTGTCTTTCAAGATGAGACTACCATATCGACCTGTCCAGATAGGATAGCAAAAACGGATAGTCGAAATGGCGCGGATCGAGTACTAGGAAATCCAACAACGACTCGTAGCCGTGAATGCCACAAGCCCTCGAATCGGTCTGGTACCGCGACACCTTGGAACCCACACAAGCTCATGATGGATATCAATGGAGGCGATCAAAATGACCGGCATACACTTGCACGGGAACTTTTGCATATCCTAGGGGACTTCCCTGTTCAGAGCGGCCGGAGTGATAACGGCACTACCGAGTCAAGAGGGCTTCAAGAGCCTTTGTGGTTCATAGGTGGTCTTGCCAAGCGAGGCTGGGATCTTCATAGCCTCGATGGGAATGGGAAGAGGATAAGGCATCCGACAGCATTACCCTCTGCCACGTTACCCAGTGAGGACGCGCGCCTTCTGAGCAAGTGGACCCCACAGGCGCTGCAGAAGATTCTGCTCGAACAAAGTCGATATTATGAGCATGGCTTACTTAGCTCGAAGTGCGATGTAGCAGACGCACTTGATCCCATTCATCATGGGTTAATCACGGATGAGAGAGCCAGAGAACTTTTTCAAGCGTGAGTAGTAACGACGTTTCTTTGGTAGGTATGCTAATTCATGCAAGATATTGGGAAATGATCCATCCTCAATGGACCATATTGGATCCCTGTCTACATTCATTGACATTCGTTCGGGGTCGCTCCGCTTTGCTTACATCTACGATCCTTGCTCTTGGCTCGACGGCGCTTGCGACGCGTCCTGAGAGTAGAGAGGAAGAGATCTCTGAAGCACTTCGCCTCCACGCTTATGTGGAAAAGCTCAATCTAGTTGTTTACGCAACAGGTGCAAGGTCGATTGATATCATACAGGCGCATATTGTAAGTTTTGTATCCTCAGTCCATGTAGACTTGGCTAATGTGAAAAGCTTCTGTCACGCTGGGGCACCTCTCCAAAGGCTCGAGTCGATGAACAGCGATGGATGCGAGCAGCGATGATCCCAAGAATGGCTTCCGAGATTGGGCTAAATCTCCCACGTCACTATGACGAAAGTAAGGACCTGAATTCTGAAAAGGTTGAGAAGCTGCAATGGAATGATATACGAACAAGAGGCTTCATAATACTCAATGAGTACAGGTAATGTTCATGACGTGTGGTATTGAATGTGAGGGCTTTTGCTAAGATTGATTGATAATCATAGGTTCTTTACATACTCCGGCCGCCAATCGATGGACCTAAGTCAATTCGAGTTGACTGAAACGGAAGTTGAAGAGTTAACTCGACAATGTCAAGAACGTTCTATGTCATCACTTGCAGCATTCTATCACCTTTTTCTATTTGAGGTTTGTCGATCTGTCGGGTGCTTTTATGTAAGCCAATCTAACGATTGAAAACTGGCAGCGAGATGTTCGTCGAAGAATTGAGCAATATCGACAAGGACCAGACATTTCCATCTCGCTGGATGCGGAGTTAGAACACATCAAAACCTTTACAGAAAAATGGATCTCAGACTGGTGTCAAAGGAACGGTGACAATTGTCTGAATTGGCATCTAACTCACGATGCACTCAGCTGCTGGCTTCTCTTAGCTGTTCGAATTGCCAGAAAGCGTCCTCAATCCTACAACACATCTCATCAGCAACAGCTTCTTCTTGCTCTGTCAACCAGGATATTCAAAGAAGCTCTGCGGGCTTCTCAGGCTATTCATACTAGTCACCGTTCAGCCATTTTCCCTTTCGCAGCATCCATTATTCTTCGATTGAGCACCAGACGAGACCTTGTATTGCGCCTGGCGCTGCGAATGACGGGAGAGCCAGGGAAGCCGCATGTGTCGACATTTGTTCGTGACGCTGGTAATCAGTTGCTAGTGATGTTATGGTGCGTACAGGAATTTATCGTTTTGTTACTTCTCTAACATTCTGTACATAGTACCAACAATTTGAAGCCTCCAGCGCCAATAGGTGAAGCCGAGGAAGAATCTAATCGAAGCTCAACCAGCAGCGGCCAAGCTTCAGAGGAGTTCAACGATTCACATATTCGCGACGAGACTCAGCAATCAACAGAAAATCCAATGCAAGATCAAATCCCGACGCGTCTAGATAGAAATTGGGACGATTCAAGTTGCCTACCAGTGTCTGGTTTGCCGTTTGGACCGCAGGCGGAAGCGAATAACATCTTCGCATTGAACAGCGCCTACTTCCCATACGTCCCGGATCCCACTCAGCCGAGAGTTCAGTTTCAGGATTCCATGCTTCCTCCGTATCCATCTGCTGATCTTGATGCATTGATAGGCACTGCTGCCCCGTTAGATCTTACAGGCACAGATAGCTCAGCACTGAATGCACAGTTTCAGAGTCTCACGGACAACAGTCAAGCATGGACAACGTCTCTTGAAAACAATTTTGGCTTTCCGTTGCAATCAATGACATCGACCCAAGGCCATTCACAACCCGGTCGGGAGAATGCAAATTGGGCCTTGGGAGAATCGTCCCCTGTTGACACTGCCTTCACAAACGGTAGTAGTACTAACGAAGAAGATCATAGTGCACAACGGGAAGTTCTGCTCGCTACCGCAGGTCGACTGATACAACTAGCCTCACAGATGCAATGATACATCACCTTGCAAGCCATTTCCCTTTCAGAGAGACAGCCTATATTCTACTTTAGAGTTTCGATTAATACAAATGAAATAAATGTCCACGATTATCTATTTCAAATGCTTATTTTTGGAAAGTTTGAAAGTTATGTCTCCAACGCGTAGTGTACCCTTAGACATTCTGATAACTCGTGAATTGTTGCGAGTAAGGGATGCCGGCTACTGGCGGTGGCTACTGTCCTTTACTCTTCTCTCTTAGCCGATGGAGAAGAAGTAATATTACGCAAGGCGAAATGAACCGAAAGAATGAATTTGCAGCTTCTTTTCGGCGATTAGATGCGTCACTAGGCTGCTTACGTGGTGAGATGCTAAGGACTATTCGTAGCTTTGAGCGGGCTATGGCATCCAGACCTCGACTCATGATCCAACCCTCGTACAAATCTTGAAAATTGCAGCGCATATGTTGTAACAACACCACATACCCCAGTTTGCGTTCCCCACGGGGGAGGGTATTCTCGGTATGCCGTATTTGAGAATATTTGGCTAACCCCGACATCGTAGCCATGACTCGGTTTCTAGACGACACCCCGAATATGGGGCGAGCCCCCCATCTGGGTAGCGCTTCACCACTAACCATTCGATGTCTCCACATGCCCCGCCCCCAGTTCTGTTGTGGTTCAAGGCAAAATCTCCCAAGTAGCAATTTAGTAGCCGGCTCGGTCTCTTGATTTCATTCACAACGAGACAGGATAACATTCAACTGCAGCTGCGTTGACAAGGACTATATGATGGCTCATCTCCAGAGCCTCGTTGGCAGATGTATCAGCACGGTTATTTCTATTGTTGTTGATACTACACGATGACAGCTACTCACTTTCCTGAAGACAAGTCCGTCACGGTACACGTTGACAACCCGGGTTCAGACATGGACAATCGCGACAAAGTTGACTCGACACCCGAGAGCGTCCACAATGAGCTGCCACCCGTGGAGCACTTGAGCCTCATCCAATGCCTTCGCAAATACAAGGTCGCCTCATTTATGTGCGTCCTCGCTGCAGTGGGAGCACTCTCGGACGGGTATCAAGTTCAAATGTCTGGCAGCATTGTTGCCCTTGACGGCTTCATCAACACATTTGGCGACCTACAAGATGATGGTACTTATGTAGTCGACCCTCAGTATCTTGCTCTTTGGGGTTGTAAGTCAACTTTTCTTGTTTGCCGAAGAGATTTCTAACATTGCATTCTATTAGCCCTCAAAAACGTCGCTGCGATGTTTGGTGCTGCAATTGGTTCATATCCTGCAGATAAGCTCGGACGCAGGTGGATGATTCTTCTTGTTCAAATCATCATGATTGGTGCTTGTATTCTGGAGCAGCTATCAACTCACTGGACACACTGGCTTGGTGCCCGACTGCTTGATGTATGGCCGGCGTGACATACCAGCCACTATAAGCGCTGACATTATACAGGGATTCTCGATTGGTCTTGCGCAATGTTGCATAAATGTTTACATATCGGAAATGGCACCGACCGGTGGTCGTGGTGCTTTGATGAGCCTGGTTCAACTCTTTGTGAGTCGATCAACAATGCAGACAAGAGCCAGAGACGTGCTAACCAACAATGCAGTACTCCATTGGCCAATTCCTGTCGTCCATATCCCTCAATATCGTCTCTCAAGATAAACCGAAGAACTGGCGTCATGCAGTCTTGTCTCAGTTCGCACTCTGCGGCGTGGCTCTTATTGCTTGGGTTTTCCTGCCCGAGTCAGCTCGCTGGCACTGCGCCCAGGGCCGCGAATTACCATGCAAGAAGATCCTGACCAGAGTCAACGGCAAGGTGCCGGGCTACGATGTCGACATGGAGTACAAGCGGATGCATCTCGAAATTGAAAACGCGAAGATTGAATCTACAATCCATGGCGGCGGCTCTTATTTAGACGTGTTCCGTGGCACCAACCGAGTAAGATTCATTCACGACTGCATGTCTACGTATGACTAACGAGACACAATAGCGTCGTCTCATCATCTCCTTTTTGCCCTGGCATTGGCAAGTGGCTATCGGTGTGCCTATTATATCTACCTACTCAAGTTACTTTTACAAAATGGCCGGGATGAAGAACCCATTCAACGGAACTGTTGCGACGAAGTAGGTTATCAAGTATCAAAGTCTTTGATTTCATTACTTACAATGCCCAGCTGTGTCAATATTGTCATGCTGTTCGCCGCTGTACCTCTCATTGAGCGACTCGGTCGCCGGGCACTAATGATATGGTGTGGCCCGATTGCCATTGCAGCTCTCCTTGTTATGGGCGGTGTATTGAAAACAGATGGATCAGCTGTTGGCCCGGTTCTCATCGCCTTTGCGTAAGTCTAAAGTCTCTCAATAGCCCCACAACAGTTGCTGACTGGACCCAGCTGCGTCTGGAGTATTGGCTACAACCTGTCCGCAGGTCCAATGGGCTATATTTATGTAGCAGAAACATCAACTCAAAGATTGCGTGCGAAGACAACTGGCGTTGCGATCTTTTTCATTCAGGGCATGGCGACTATTTACGTTTATATTGCTCCTATCATGCTCAACAGCCCTGCGCTTGGAATGAGTAATACTGGTGAGTGCCTTGTTTTACTCATTTAGTCATCACTCACTAATCAAAATCTAGTTTTCTTCTGGGCTGGCACGGGCTTCCTCGTGTATATTCTTATCTGGTTGATGGTTCCCGAGACCAAAGGCAGGTCTTTCGCCGAGCTCGACGAGCTCTTTGCACGCAAGATTCCCGCCTGGAAATTCGCCAAAACTGAGGTATCGGTTGATAATCGCCATAGCGAAGAGCAGCTCAGAGGTGAGGCATAGGGCACGCAAATGGAGAAAGAGGCTTGATTGCCATATTTGCAAGGATGTTACATACTTGAGTGAGTTTCTTGTAAGGGGGCTACTCTAAACGATCGAACACTAGGAGCTGCTCATTGTCTATATGTGAATTGCATACGAAACACATAAGTAGATATGTGAATAGGAGAAGATAAGACTGTCCTTGACTGTAACGAGAATTGTTTGAGTTTTGATATTAATCGGTGATATGAGTTGGTTTGTAAGAGATAATTTCTGAATTTAGAAGGTTCATAATGCTCCCCGACCAGAGTATACCCACTTGTTATGTGTTGTAGAAGAGATCTGACGAACGTTTCTCATGGGAGCAACAGCGCCAGGCTACAGAATACAACAAAGATCCGCCTTATTCGGAGAATTCTGTCGCATGAGTTCTAGGTCATTTGGTTCCGTGTGGTCCGTCCTAGGACAGACTGGAGAGGTAGACGAGAAGTGAGGTTGTAAAGTCTGAAGCCGGAGGCGCAGACGTTCATCCAAGGTGACGTTACGCGTTCGACTAAAATCTGACTGATATTCCTCCAGCAAAGCCTGAATGCGAGTCGCCTTCTCTTCATCACCGATATCTAGTGCTGCATACGCAGCGAGAAGAAACACGGACGACGCGCTTGCGCCTAAGGGCCGGTACTGTGATGCCTGTTCAGCGAGTACGATAATGCTGTCCACAAATTCGGAAGATTCCTCCCTCAGAGATGAGCCGTTTGAAGTACTTCTATAGAAACGCAGAATTTTGTTGAGCATGATTGCTACAAGAAGAAGGATGCCATATCCTGTCTGCCAACGCATATGTAACCTGCGGGATGGAATCGGAAGCGGAGTAGTAAGTCTTCCATCGGCGGCTTGTACGACAGGAATCTCAGCAAGGACTCTTGCCATTTTGGCTGAGTCCTCGCGGACACGATGGTATGTGATTTCGATTTCTTGGAGGTGTGTCACCGGGTCGCGGATGAGCGTGGTGACGCGGGCTAGATTGCGATTCCTGAGGCTATCCATGGTGGACTGCGCGTCGGTCGGACTACGCGGCCCAAAAGTTTCAGGAAGGCCCCATAACTCGGGATCAAGATTTATTCGTGGATTGACAAAACTTTCCAGTATCTACGTATTAGTTAGAAAATCGGAGGCTTAGCTCCTTCTGTTCCAGTTTATGTTCAAGACTGGGAGGGCTTACCACAGCTACGCATAGGGTATTCAGCATGTCTGTCTCAAACTTATCAGTCATCCTCCATTGAACTTTCCCCAGCATATGGGCAATGGCTTCTCCGTGGCTTGGTTGGGGATCATCTAGATTGCCCATCCACCCCTGTTATCATACAAACGTATTAACACTCTTTACTTGGCATACAGTGCTGAGGAGCGATGAAACGTACCTGACAGACGACAATCAGATACAATGCACACATTGTATCAACCGATAACGCATTGGCCGGGTCCCCTAGACAGACTCTCAGCGCTTTAAGTGCTGCTGTATACTTGCCGTATGACTGGGGTGATTGCTGATGACGAGACTGCACCATTGGAAGAGTAGTTGTAACCGCCTCTACCGCCGTGTCCAATGCTTTGTTGTTTCCTAATCGCTGCGGTATCAGTCGAAAGAAGCCACCGTATACGGTCAGATCAAAGCGCGGATCGAGTACTTCGAGTGCCGAGACTAGTTGGCTCGTCGTCATGGTCATGTCGCTACTTGGAGGACTTAGTTCCACAGCACTTGCACGAGCTTCCGGAGCTGGAATAGTTGCTGCCGACCAGGACTCAGCGCGGCTACCACTACCGGTCAGGGTCTGATTGTGGAACTTGTAACGCTGTTGTCCAGCTCCCACACAGGGGATCTGCAGACGCGTACAGCGGGAGCATTTTGGCCGAGCCTGATCGCACTTTGCCGCATTAAGTCAGCATGGGCGTTTGATGACTAGTCTGATTGAGAGCAGATCGAGCCCTAGAAGCGGGAGTTACCTTCTTCTTCTGTTTGCGACAGGCTTCGCAGCCACGGCCGGAGGGGACCCCAGGCATGATGCAGTGCGGCGCGCGGCGTTTGACCTAATCGAGAACTCGGCAGATCTACCTTGGTAGTTAGATCCAGCTACGGTTAGATCTACAGATTGATCAAGACCTGCTTTTGACACGAACTCCTCAAATGAACCTAAAATGGAAACGCTGTCACATTCGTTGTCTAGATGCCGCAATACACCACTTTCTTCTGTTGCGCATGAAAGATAGCACCCCTATCAGCTCTTTTGTGCGATATCCCGATATGCGAGTTTGATGAACGATAAAATTTTGATCAAGTTAGAAATGTAGTATAGCAGAAGATGTTTGACAGCAATTAGCAAAAAAATTGAGTCCTTCGAACGATGTGCTCATCCATCTCAGATGACATGGTCTGAAGGGACCTACCTTCCGTTACGTACTGAGGCAGTACAATTTCAAGCACAGCCCACCTAGAGTTATAGGGGCAAGATCGCCAACCTTAAATCAACTGCTAGGCTGACGAGCGGCACATCGAGCCACATTGGGAATAGCATAGAGAAGGATCGCATGCGCCTCCGTAATCTTAGTCACGCCCTGGAGGAACACCGACTGTGCAAGACTCGCGAATTACAGAACACGAGCGAATCATTTTTAAAAATGAGGATGCATTATGGAACACTCTAAGGATTATAGGTAATCCACTAAAAGAAAGGACATCACATCTTTAATACTCGAGAAATCTTAAGCACGCCTCTTCAGGGTCACCCGAAACGCGGCGGGGCTCACAGCGGTCGCCTTCCCAGCGCAGTCGACGTCAAATACGAACAGCGCCGTGCCAATGCCGCCGTACGTAGCTGAATCGACATACACCCAATCCGAAAGAAGGAAACCACGGCCGGAGAACAGTTCTGGTCCGACGGGTGGCTGTGTGCTTGGGGCATCAAAGTCACTGACCAGCCGGAACGCAACTTTCCCATGAGCTGCGTCAGAGATGGATGGCAACAGCCGCCAAGGCGGGAAACCAGGGCTGGGAGTCAGCGTGGCGAGAACATCCGTGCCGTTGCTAATCCACGAAGATATGACCAGACCAGGCGCGCCGCTTTCAGTCTGATTGACTGCCAGGACCAGTGAAGTGTTCAGGCCTCGCTCACTCGAGCTATATGTTCCAGCAAACCGCTCCGCCGCTTCTACGGCCGCTTCAGCAACCAGTGCTGGTACTATGATATCAGTGACAATGTCCGCGATACCGGCAAGAATGTCGAAGCGCGCTGTCATGGTGCTAGCCGAGAGAATGCTGAAGCCGGCGCCATAGTCAGGCAGCAGAACCAGGAAAGCACTATATGTACCAGAGTCACCGGACTTGGTATATAGGTCTGTAACAACGCCCGATGGATTTGTGTACCGGTGGATCTCCCATGGCCGCCCCACCGAGTATTGAAGGCGTGCTGTGTGAGTAACTGGCTTCAGCCATCGACGCGTTTCGTCGTCAGCGAGTAGTGTCGAATTCAGTATGGAGATTCCGAACTTGGCCATGTCGTTCGTTGTGGAAGAGACGGCACCAGATGACACAAAGACGCCGGCATCAATCGCAAAGTTTGCAATATCTCCAGGGATCACGGAGCGATCCCATTCGGACAAAGGTGGCGTAGTGGTATTCGATGAGTCCATACCGAGGGGCTCGAAGATGCTCTCACGGAACATCTGGTCAATTGTTCTGCCCGTGAGCTTGGACATTGCCATACCGAGCAAGGTGAACCCGTTATTGGCATACCCGGGGCTAGTCCAGGGCAGGAAGCTTGGTGGTCGATTCACAACACTCTGCATGTAGATGTCTGGAGGACATTGCGAAGTATTAAGGAGTGCGCAGGGAGGGTTCTCTAATGGGTCCGTCTGATTGTACGGCGGAAGTCCCATTGTGGTCGGGTCTGGGCCGCCAGCGTATGCCCTTACTTGAATTTCACCAAGGCTTGGAAACCCATCACGCGGGACGCCCGCAATCTGAGCAGCGAGAGCACCGAGCGTGACTTTATTCCACTCCACAGTGTGTATTGGGTCGTCTTCTCCTGATGTCTTGTTCGCGTACTCTGCAAAGAGCGGGAAAACGTCAACAAGGGACCGATCCCAGTCAGTGCTCTCCAGCTCGAGTAAACCTGCAAGGACAGTGAAGACCTTGGTGACACTCGCAACACGGTATATGCTATTTGCGTCTACCTTACGCGTTCCATTGGGCGAATTGGTTATTTCCGGAGACGTGTAGTGAAATTGTAATTTGCTAGCAGCCGGATCATGTAAAGAAAACAACCCCAGCGAGAAGGTCAAATTGCTAATGCCGTCGAGAATAGATGGGATTGCAGTTTGATTGGTGCCATCAAGATTCAGATAATCTTTGAGAGTCGCGCTGAGATTCTTAAATCCGGCAGCAACGAGACTCTTGCTATCAGCTAGACTCGTGGGGGCTGGCCAGCTCGGGCCCACGAAATCACCAAGGACCGGACTGACAGAAACCGGGAGAAGAACGAGACCAAACTGGAGAAGCTGCATGATGGACTTCCCAATGACAAGAGAGTCGAGAGTTGACGAAAATTGACGAAGTGTCTTGAGATCGACTAACTTTCTGAAGATCTCATCCAACATTGTCGAGGCTTACCTCTTTTATATTTGTACTTTAACATGTGTACAGGTGTGCCTTTTTGGTGACGTCAACTAATTAGAAGTCAACAAGTCGATGGAGAACATCCACGGGTTGAGGCTGATGCTTGTTGTGCGCCCCACGCAAGCCCAGTGCGTGCGAACAACTACACTAACTTTGTTAGGCTCGATGTGCCGCTGTGTCTTTGTAGCTGAAGCGCCTGGAGCGGGGGCTGAATTGGCATTTTTACGCCTTGGGAACGGATCCTTCGAATGCAATCCTGCCATCAATTTAATTCGACTTGCTATTGCTAAATAGGGTATGGTAATGTGAATTACGATTGGCCTTAGCCCTACGGATATTGCTTCACCTTACAAAGACCCTAGGGACTTAGGAGATGCGGAAAGGGTTTCCTTGCCTCTTCAAATATCGCACCACATCTCGTGATACCGCCTCAAATCAACACCTCCAGTGACCGAGGCTAGTTGCAGATACGGTGTCAGATCGATCTCCTCTGGCGTCTCCTGATTTACTTGCACGTCTTTTTGTGTCCATCCATTGCCAAAGTATGCAAATCTGTTCCCCGATGTAGATTTGTATGTGTACTCCCAATCTTCCCACCGTGGGTCCCGGCGCACCGCATTCGCGTGCAAGCCGCTCCCTGGCCAGTTTGCAATAACACGCCCGCCTTTAATACCGCCGTTGAACCAGGAGCTACACTCCTCACTCAATACTGTCTTTGGAAAGTAAGCATCGCAATATGCTTGGAAGTCATCGGTGGCTTGTCGTGTAGGCATCATTGTCCGGATGTCCTGATTTATCGCCTTCCTCAATACACGTGCTATCAGTGTGATTTGGTTCTCTGTGGCAAAAGGTAGCGTGCCAGTGGCACTAGCACACTGAGGTCCGTTAACAAACAGAAGATTTGGAAACCCGGGCGTTGCGAGTCCCAGATAGGTATACGGAAACCCGACACTACCACCTGGTTTCCAGGCTGATGAGAGGTCTAAGCCACTCGAGACAATAGGGAAGGGAGGTGCAAATGATTTCTCAGAACCTGTGCAGCAGATGATGGCATGGACCTCACGCTCCCTCCCATCGACAGTACGGATACCAGTTTTAGTAAACCTCTCGATTGGTGTGGTGATGTATTCAACATTTGGCTGAATGAGCGCTTCCAGATAGCCGGGCCCAGGTGTGAGTCGCCTACAACTTGGGGAGAAATCCGGCAGGATTGCCTCTAACAGATCAGGACGGCCAGCTAGTCTTGACTTCATAAGATCTGTGAACTTCGCGCGCGACTGTTGCGACTGAGTGCCACCCTTTAGTATAGTGCCAAATCCTTTGAATGACCTATTTTCTATATTCTTTCGGTATTGAAGATATGTCTCTGGGTCTGCAATCGTGGATCGCAGCTTCTCTGGAATGGGTTCACCAGGCTGCCCATCGATACCACCGAAATTGCCCGCAATCCAAGCTGGACTTCGCGCGTAGTGGTCGAGCTGTGTTACTAATGGCTGGAGTAGGGGCAAGACCTGCATCCCGGAAGATCCATTGCCGATAATTGCGATTCTCTTGCCGTTTGCGTCAAAAGCTGGATCCCAGCGAGAGCTATGACAGAGATGACCTTCATAGTCTTCCATACCCGGATACTGTGGCAATTGCGGATGGCTGAAAACACCCGTCGCCATGATAAGGAAATCAGCTTCTTCTATCCACGTTTCCGATGAGCGGCGAACCGTCACAAGCCATTGTGCCTGACCATCGCTCCAATTTGCCGAGAGAACTTCATGATTAAATCGAATATGGCGGTAGGCGTCATGTTTGGCGGCAACTTTAGCCCAGTATGCCTTGATCTCAGCTCCTTGGGCGTAGTGCTCAGACCAGTCCCGCGATGGTGAGAAGGTCGATTGGTAGACATGAGAAGGAACGTCACACCGGACTCCAGGATATGTACATTGGTTCCAGATGCCGCCCTTTGTGAACGTTTAGTCCGTGCTAACTAGCTGTAGAAGAAATAACATACCAAATCAGAGTCGCGCTCAAATATACGCAAATCGAGGCCAGGTACTTTTGCTGGAAGAAGGATTGCGGCATTGATACCGGATATGCCTGCGCCGACCACAATTGCCTTCAGGCTTCTCGGTACGTCGATCGGCCGCTGTTCTAGATCGAGCGCGTGCCAAGTGCTTGACGACCCTAAGCTAGTCATGATTGGTTCTTCTCGGCAGTGCAGTTGGCTGATTTGCCCATAAACTAAGTGTGCGGTGTTCAGCCACTATATTTCCCCGTATGCCAAGTCCGCGGTGGCCGCAGAGCCTCACAATACCCAGTCAAGGCCTATTACAGACCAGTAGAATCTATCGAACAAAGTCCCAGGTATGGTTTGTCCAATCCAACTCTGTTTGAAGACAAAATATTCCTGGCTAAGCCGAGAAAATGTTGTTTTGCGCAATCAATACTGCCAATCACGACAGTCTAGCGATGGGTTATCTACCGTCTAGGTAATGACCCCTGAAAACCGATACCGGCGTACTGAAGCTGTTCAAATATTATCCTGGGGTCTCATCATGACACTAGAAATATACAATAGAAATCAAGGATTGATACCGATGCAAGATATGGAAGGATGCAGTAGTTTGGCCGGGAAGGATTGGTCGACTATTACGGAGCACATTTCAGCAAATGATATACGGTTGGACTATCGTGGTGCCCACTTGGTACACATCCAGAGGAAGTGGGATATTGGATAATCGGCACGAAAAAGGTGTGATCAACTAGGCCAGGGTATGTTTCGGGGTTACCTGAATTGGCGAAATCAGAAGAAATATAATCATCTTGGCGCTGCTGTCTTCACCGCAGTGTGTCCATTATAGAAAATCCCAGCGACAACATCAGATTTCCTTGACTCTAGTAATTATGGGCAGCCAAGATGATATGAGGGTGAGCGAGGCACCTCGCGAGGATGTCGAAGACAGCTTCAACAAGGACATCACTCAAGATGGCGACGAAGCTGGCAAGGTAAGCAAGTCAAAGATAAAATGGTTGCAATTGATAAGCCCTATTAACACAGTGCTCAAGTTCCTCCGCGATTACGATGTTAGAGTGATCGCATCCAGTGCGACAGAAGAGGACTATGCAAAGATCGTTCGCAAGCTTGATTGGCGTATTCTGCCCCTTCTCTTCGGCACGTACGCCCTTCAATGCATTGACAAAAGCGCTTTGGGATATGCCGCAGCATTCACTCTCTCGACTGATCTCGGCCTCGTTGGGAAACAATAGTAAGCCCGCTATCAACTCCATCATTTGTAAACAAATCACCAATGCAATTTCTATAGCTCGTGGCTATCTTCGCTTTTTTACTTTGGCTATCTTTTCTGCGAGTACCCGACGACATTGTTATCTCAGAAGTTCCCTATCGGCCGATTTATTGGTGTAGCGATTGTGGTAGGCAACCTAGTTCCTGATAAGCTCTAGGTGCTTAGGTGATGCTAAGATCTATTTGGTGTAGGCTTGGGGTGTTATTTTGGTTGCTGCCGCTGGCGCGCACAACTTTGCAAGCATGGCTGCGCTAAGGTTTCTTTTAGGTGGAATCGAGTCTCTCATCACGCCCACATTCGTGCTAATTGTACGGGATTACCTATAACCGGAGAACGAGACGATCATAGCTGACTATCATCACAGAATGGAATGTACTACACAAGACGGGAGCAAGCGCTGCGGACTGGATTCTGGGCCGCAGCTAATGGCTTTGGGTGTAAGTCCATGAAAACTGTCTAGCAAAGCAATCAACTAATAAAACCAGCTATGATTGGTGGTGTCATTGCGTATGGTATGGGACAAGTAAACGCAGGTCTACCAGGGTGGAAAGTCAGTCTTACACTTTCGCTTCCTGGATGATATGCTAATTGATGAACTATAGTGGATTTTCATTCTCAACGGTACGCGATTGCATGGAAAGGTTGTTTCATTTGACATATACTAATTGTTGTTCCTCTTAAAGGACTTATCACCGTTATTTGGGGTATGTTAATTGTCTGATTTAGAAATGTTTGACCGACTGACCTTCACTAGGCACCTTCGTATTCTTTTTCCTTCCCACCTCACCTATGAAGGCACGTTTCTTGACCGAGAATGAACGAGTTTTGGCTGTCCACCGGATCCGAACTAACAACACGGTAAGTTTGCAATCTCTGTTGGATATTTTGTACCTGCCGGAGCGCGTTCAAAGATTTCCAAACATTACAAATTCAGCTTGTAGACAGTTGAGTATCAGTTGCTGACAACATACTCAAGGGAATTCTGAATCGTAATTTCAAATGGAAGCAGGTCAGAGAGGCTCTGAATCCTTTCGAGGATCCACAGGGGCTCCTCCTCTTTCTCATTATTTTCTGTAACGAAGTTCTCAAGTTAGTAACGTTTCTGCTGATACTTGAAGTTATGTACTCACTCGTGCATCTTTAGTGGTGGCTTTGGCGCGTTTGGGACGCTTGTCATCAAGTCATTCGGCTTCAATTCCCTGCAGTCTACGCTAATTTATATTCCACAAGGCTTTATCAACATGGTGTGCATATTTTTTGGCGGCTGGCTATCTCAAAGGCTTCCGAATGCGCGTATTTATGTCGCCATAGGCATGCTTTTGCCAACATTTATCGGACTATTGCTCCAGATTGTCTTGCCGAGATCAAATGTCGCTGGCTTATTGATAGGAGGTAAGCTCTGTAGCTTTCAATGTCATATGGTGTGAACAAGGTCTTCTAATATTGGCAACACATAGTATATTTATTTCCTCCTTTCGCTACGGCTCTTTTCATCCTCCTTGCTCTACCTGGTGTGAACAGCTCTGGCTACACTAAGCGCATCACACTTTCATCTTATGCCTTCTTGGGCTATGCCCTCGGTAACATCTCTGGGCCATTTATGGTCAAGACTGGTGAAACACCAGCTTATCGGTCTGTGTTTATTGCAGACATGATATGTATTGGAATTCAGGGTGAGAATAACCTATAGACTTTCTCCGATTGCAGGAAAATAATGCTAAACATTTGTGCTTCATGTTACAGCTATGCTACTTGTAATCTTGCGCCTATACTATGTGAGACAGAATGACCGCCGCGATAAGCAGCTTGCCGAGGGCCAGCTGCAGAATGCTCCTGAAGACGAATTCGCCGACAAGACAGACATAGAGCTACCAGGATTCCGATACGTGGTATGTCAGACAAGTGTTTAGACTTTCTTTCCGTCATTGGTTGCTGACAAACATTCAAGCTGTGACAAAACAAATAACCTCTCGAGGTTTCGTAAATTCTTCCCTAGCACTCATATACATCTTAGACAAGAGTTTTCAGCATGAGATTCTTTCATGTTTGGATGGTGGACAATCTCCCAACAGGTGGCAAGAATTCGTACTCTTCTTCGTCCTTGGTAAGAAGTAGTTACTCCTCAGCGGAGATGATACCTTCTGGTATTGCTCGATCTTTAGCCGGGGATGGACAAATTCTAGGGTTGTACATTTACTCTGTGGTGTACATGATCAGGTGCAAAAAATTTTGTTCCATACATTCTCATCGTATTCTATACCAGTCTTTTTAGGATAGTATAATATACTATAGACTTTTTCGAATTATGGAGTATCTAAGCGTCTTTGTATCTCAAATATTGTGTCTTTCTACATTTGTAAAGATGTTGTTCTGAGAAGTGTAGGGCTGATCGGTTACAGTCAGGATCATTTGGCTATGAGTAATGTGAGTAAGATTGGGCACATGGTGAAGGGGGTTTATGCCTCGTTATGGGATACCCCGCCAAGTCTTCTATCCTTCCGCCAAACCAGAAACCATGAGGTTAGGATAGCCAATATACCTACGACCAGGAAGCTCAGGCATATGCCGTAAGAGGTGTGATATGATGGTCCAAAGACTGTACTGTATACGTGTGGACCCGCGATTCCACTGAATTGAGCCATTGCATTGGTAAATCCAATACCAATGCCAGAAGCAACAGTACCATCCAATGCCCGGATTCTCTCTGGCCAAATAACGGGATAGGCAGATCCTGCACAAGACACAGCAACGATGAGAAATATGTACCTCACTACAGGGTTGGACACCGTGAACAAGACGATATAGCTAATAATTATGGTAGATTCAACTAATGGATGTCAGTTCACTTTCGATTTTCCGTTGTTCAGTACTTTTTATGTAGAAGCAATTCAACTTACTTCCTACAGCTGTCGTCCAAGGCCGAATAGTTTTTCGGTGTAGGAGAAATCCAAGGGTGTTAAGAAACAGAAATGCTGAAACGTAAGGTGGCTGGAAGAGTAAGCCACAAGTTTGAGTTGCCTATAAGTCTCCATACAAGTGTTGACTTACTATATTCATAAGCTGGGACTTGGCCGTCGTAGTAAAACCAAGTTGATAGATTACTGTTGGTAGTGCATAACCTACGCCGAAACCGCCAATACCATGGCAAATCCAATATACGGAAAAGGTATAGAATGTCGGATCTTTGAAAAGGCCTTTGAGTGAGTGGAAATCCCAGTGACCTTTCTTTCCCGATGGAGCGGCTTTGCTAAGCCGGCCATTAAGAAATTGCCGTTCCTTTTCTGTCAAGAACCTTGCTGTCTCTGGATAATCAGGCAGACCAAATAGTGCAACAAAAGACAGGAGAATAGCAGGCAATCCTTCAAGAAGAAAGAGCCACCTCCATCCAGCTAGACCACCAAACCCGTCCTATTTCGAGTAGAGGTTAGCTTGCTTCTTTCATGCTATCCAGATGAAGTCGACAGGACTTAGTCATCAAAATCTCCCACGATGAGAACACCGTCACCCTACGTTGACATATAACTTACCATAAAGCTAATTGCATAAGCCAACAAGCCGCTGAGCGCACTAGAGAGCTGTCCAACAGAATAAAAGAATGCCACCCGTTTTGGTAACTCTTTCGGCTTGTACCAGAACGCCATATGATAGAGAACAGCAGGAAAGAACCCAGCCTCAGCTAGCCCGATAGCAAATCGGACACACATCATGCCGCTGAAGTTTTGTGCCGCAGCTGAAGAGCAAGCTGACACACCCCAAGACAAGATGAGTACAAACATCCACCTCGACGGTTTGAATGTCTTGAGGAGCAGCGTGTTGCTCGGCTCGAAAACCATATAGCTATAGGAGAAGATGGATTGTGTCCATGCCCATTGGGAAGGACTAAATCCTAGTTGTTTCTTGATACCAGTGCCATTTTCAAGATTAATGATTGCCGCATTCGCATAGTTTGATGAGTCGATGACACGGAAGATATAAACGGCGGAGTAAAAGCCAACCAGCCAATAGTCAATTTTGCGGATGAGTTTCTTTTCAAAATTGGAATCCACTGGGTCCTCATTGGTCGTATTCTCTGATGATAGAGGTTCCGGGTAGTCACTTTGTCGTAAGATGGCAACTTGGTTTGCTAGCACACTAAGCTCGTCCTTGTCGGGTGCCATCTTACGTCTGACGCAATTGTTATCAAGCTTTGAAAGAGCCAAATATTGTGTGCGATAATATGGGAAATATTGTATAAGGCTAAAGTTGATCTTTGCCAGTGGACGAACTAGCAGTTCGGATGTTGTGTGGTGTATTTACATGCACATGCTGGCACCTACGGACGATCCTCATATTGGGGAATTGCTACCTTAACAAAGCAATCCGTACCTTCTAGGAGCACTAATATTACTAGCTGCTATACGAATCATTGACCATGCCCATATAAGTTGTTCACAGGGGGTACGTAATGGCATGTTGTACTGTGTTACGGCAGCTGCCAGATAACAAAATTTACGGGGAAGCTAAGCATTAGGCCACGACAGATCAGATGACGATTGTACAGGGAGCAGACCTTATGACTTGAAACTTATGGGGCGATGGTAGAGGGATATTTAGATATTCACAAGAACCATGGTGCGGACCAGGGAAGTGTTGACATGCACTAGCAGTTGACAGGAGGCAATATCTACTAAAAGAAGAAAGCTTGTTACCGCTGCTTGATCAACCAGATCCTATTAGCCGTTTTAGGAAGAAACATGTGAAAAGTACTAAAAATAGTAATCACCAAACACGATAGACTCCGTACTATTCCCAAGTCCCAAAGCGTGTTCATGCTAGAGCGATCAGTTTGATAATAAGCACGCATTTAATGACGAATATGGGCGCATGAAGCACGCAAAGATATGAACATCTCATAGACCACAAATCCCGATCAGCGTTTACAATCTGACCAATCCAGACGAGAGCCTGGCGGGATGATATGCAATGAGCCCCACGCTTCCACATAAAAAGTGACATATCTTGTGTGGGGAACTAGTCTCATTCAGATGTTGTGGGGGTTACCTGATACTACAGAATAAAGGAAGCCCGAATGTAGAAGTCAGTACCATGTCAAGAAGCTTCGTAGAGCACAACTAGGCAAAGTACTATGCTCTATTGTGCAATAGAAAAACTGATCCGGGATTTGGATTCTCATCTAATTATTTATCACATTCACCCAAAGGCGCTCATTATCATGGCACCTATTGCTCTCGATGAGGCCAATGACAGAAATCAGACTGGCAAAATCCACCTCATAAAACCATGGAGTCGGCCGAAGCAAACAGCAGAGAACCTGGACTGGGCAGAGTTACCCAAATTAGACCTTTCGCGATTTGATGAACCAGGTGGCAAGCAAGAATTGGCAGACCAGCTGTTCGATGCTCTCACAAGAGTTGGATTTTGGTCTGTTGTCAACACTGGCCTCGACGATAAGCGCGTTCTTCGGCAATTCAGTATTGGCCATACATTCTTCAAGGAACCTCTCGAAGAAAAGCGTACCTACCCTTGCAATTTTGCGGAAGGCGAGTATTTCGGGTATCGCGAAAACTCCCGCTGGGTCGGTGATACCGGCGTGAAAGAAAACATTGAGATGGTGTGTGGCACTAGTTTTACATAAGATTTCAAGTATGAATGACGTTAACAATGTATGCAGTTGAATATACCCAAGGCTATACCGGCGTGGGATGGTGTAGGCCGACATAAAATTGTGGAGGAGAATTGGCAAGAAATATCTACTTTTCACAGGGATGTGTGGGAGAAAGTTATCCGAAAACTTTTTGTCCTTATTTCTATAATCCTCGAGCTGCCAGAGAATTACCTGGCCGACGCACATGACTACGACAAAGTCTCAGATGATCACCTTCGGTACATGATTTACAATGTACGAAGTAACGAAGAATGGGACAAAGCACAGGCATACAACAAGGGAGGACATACTGACTTCGGAAGCCTAACACTTCTATTTTCTCAACATATTGCAGGACTTCAAATTCGTACACCGGAAGGTCAATGGAAGTATGTTCGGCCAGTCGATGGAGGAATCACTTGCAACGCCGCAGACACCTTATCCTTCCTTACAAATGGTAAATATTTCCCTCAAATGGTATTCTTAACAAATGCCTCAAATATGTTACTCATCACATTTATAGGGTTTATCAAATCCACGGTCCATCGCGTAGTCAAGCCACCACAGGACCAGATCAGCATTCCGCGGCTTGGTCTTCTTTATTTCAGCCGCCCAGGCGATTCAACATTGATGAAAACTGTCCCCTCTCCTCTTCTTGACAGATTGGGGCTAATCTCAGAAGAGGACAAGGACCCCAATAAGCCAATAGTTACTGGTACTGAGTATGTTCGTGCCAGAGTAAAGGATGTTCACTTCAAGACCGTACTGGACAAGCGTGCTGGAACAGCATTTGAATTCAAGGGCTTAAAGGTTCAAAACCATTACGAATAATTGGATTGATATATCAAGATTAGTTCAAAATAGCTTAGCTTTCTCTGTGCATACTAAGGGCGACTTCATCGAATTATGAGCATAACCATCTGTGTGACTGACCTAGCACGCATTCGACCTGTTTGGCTAGAATAGTTACTTCGGACACCTCAAACCCCCTGTGTGACCAGATCTAGTCTTTGATAATGAATGAATCCTTTCATGACATCACTCCATTTGTATTTGTAATTTGAACTACATGTAACCAAGGCGTCATCGAGCGACCCTTCATCACCTTTAGCCTTCTCATTCAAACCAAATCCGTAGGTCGCTTCTCATTTGAGAATCATCCCAAAGTTTTTAGATATATGATTTGATAGACATGCAGCTTCCAATAGCTTCAACTACTGCGAAGATACAGTATTTATCCTTTCAATAAGGTCATCGAACGGATACTTGTTATGCGACCCTGGTAATTCTAGCTTTCCTCTTGCATAACC